GGCAGTTCCCTTAGATGCTGCAAACTCGATGTTTGCTGAGGATAGCCATTGCAGAAAATGCAGGACTAATAGTGTATAACTGCTTCAGCAGTTTCCTAATGTCCCCCACCCCTACCCTCAACAAAAATGCCTTTAGCTGCCTGAGTAAGGCTTGAGAAGTCTGGCATCCCAGCAGCAGTGCTTACTTACACCACACACAACATGCAGGGGGCCCTCCTTCCGGATGACTGCAGACACTGAAACGGGAGTAAACTTTTGGCTGGTCTTAAAGAGACCCTCTCACTTAGACTGTGTTGGAAATGGCCGTTAGTGTGGGACAGGGTAAACAATGGAATACCTAGACATTTTGCTCATTTAAAATGTAATGAACATCTGTGAAACCACCACTCAACCAAAGAACTAAAACATGACTAATAAATCACATCTCCGTCTTGTTCTTCTCCTTCCCATCCTTCTCACTCCCTGCCGGGACAGCCACGCTCTTGGAATGTGTGCTGCTCATTTTCTTGCTTTTTTGTGCGTGTTCTCTCTCATACATACGCTTCTGTGAAATGACTGTGCATGATTTTCCATGTCTTTTGCCCATTTTTCTGTTGTTTCCTTACTGATTTGTAGGCGTTTTTATGTATCCTGCTGCTAATCCTGTCAGTTGTATGCCTCACAAATATCTTTCCCCAGTTTATAGATTGTACTCTGTTTAAAGTGTCTTCTGATGGCCAACAGTTTTGACATTAACGTAGCCAAACTTACGGATTTTTTTTTTTTTTATGGTTAACCTTTTTTGTATCTTCATAAATTCTTCCCTACTTCAAGCTCAGGAATTTCGATAGTCACTTACATTTCTTTTCAAGTTCTCAGAGTTTGCTTTTGACATTTAAGTTCTTCATCCATCTGGAGTGGATTTTTCGGCATGGTGTAAGAATTCAATTTCGTTTTTTTTTTTCCTATGGATAAACAATTTTTCCAGCTTTTCCTTTTCCAGGCTGTTCTGTCAAAAATCAGAGTTTCACAGATGCATAAGTCTTTTTCTAGGCTCTTACTTCTGTATCACTGGTCAGTTTGTTTATCCCTGTGCCATTCCTACACTGTCTTAGTTACTTAGCTTTCTGAGCTTGCAAGGCAATAACAGCCTTCCTGTTCTTCAGAAACCTCTTTGCTATTGTTGGCCCTTGTGTGCTTCCATTTAAATTTTAGACTTCATCTTTCATGTTCCACAGAATAATTGAAGAGCAATTTATATACAATAAAACAACCATCTTTGGTGGGCAGTTCTGTTTTAACAAATGCACGCAATCATGTAACCACCACAATTAAGATGCAGGACAGTTCTGTCAGCCCCCACACTCCCTCATCCTCTTTGTAATCAACTTCTTCCCCCAGTGCCAGCTCAGCTCTAGTCTCTCATAACCACTGTTGCTTTCTGAGATGTTTTTCTTAATTTTTACTTTTAGTTTTTTCAGTGTTTAATTAAAATGTTGGAATTTTTTCCTGGAGTTGCATTAAATCTATAGGTCAATTTAGGAGGGAATCTGCATCTTATGTTAAGTCTGCCTGTTCATAAACATAATGCATCTATCAACTTAGTTCAAGAAATTTTGTTTGCTGATAATGGAAAGTTCTCAAAAAGAAAAGTCTAAACATTTCAAGTGACTGTCTAAAATTCCTAATACAGGAAATATCTTATAATTGTCAACCTAAATAAACAAATTGCATTTAAATACACAACATACATGTGGCACTGTTGCATTGTAAAATATGTGTGTGTGTGTATATACGCATATGTGTAATATATATGCCACCTCTTGGTTCCAGACCAGCTTTGTGGCTTACCTGCAAGACTTCAGGCAAGCTATTTAGTTTCTCTGATGCTCAGTCTTTTTATCTGTATGGTGACTAGAACATCCCTTCCTTGTGGGGTTGTAGTGAAGATTAAATGCTGTAATCTGTGCAAAGTGTCAAGGGACAGTGGACCAGGCACGATGAAGCGGTGAGTGGATGAGACTATTATGTGAGGGGAACTGGTCTCACTCACCTCCAGGGAAACAGGGAGGACTCTGAACGTGTTTGGTTCCCCAGTGGCTTTGACGAAGTGGCAGGACCAATAGATTGCCGATAGATTGCCTTGAATCATTTCCCTGACAAATTTGGAAAAGGTTAGTGTTACCCAGCAGCAGCCTGCTACATGCTGCTTCTGACAGGCGAGCTGGAATCACACAGTTGACAGCCAATTCATTTTGCTGATTCATCCATTAGAGGCGTGGCTTTGAGCCAGAGCTTGGCTTCTAGATTAAAGGCGGAGAGCTGCAAAGCTGCTGGGACTCGAAGGAATGCTGGTAAATTATTGCCACGTGAAGGCCAGCAGTGAAAAGCGGACTGTTATTTGTTTTCCCTTTCAAGTGAGCCTTATTCCAAATGTGCTCAGATAAATTCCCTCACCATGGTCAGAGAGTTGTTTGTAATATTTGTCCATCAGCTGGGAGCTGAATTAATGGAAACAATCAGACACCATTAAACAGATCGTCTTAGCTTCTTTATGACCCTGTCATCACCTTTGCTTTCATGGGGAATATTCACCGAAGCCTCCTCTTTCACTTGGTAATCCAAATTAAACTTGAGAGCGAGATTATTGCAGGAGTCATCTCTTTTGGGCACGCTTGCAAAGTAAACCTTCCAGATTAAAGAATGAAATTTACGGAGGAAAATGCAAGAAGTGCTCAGTTGCCAACAGTTGATATAGAGAGACGATGGTAGAACCTGTGAGTTCTCGTTGTATATCACGTTGATAGATTCATGTGTTTTAGTGGAGAGTCTCAAGCTTACAGGGAAATCACCTCTACATAAAACTGGTATGTGACAGGGTGAGCTTCAAGAGGGCGGGGATTGTGTCTTGTTTTACCCAATACCTAGCATAGGCCATGGGACAAAGACAGTAAGTAATTGCTGGATGGAAGAATGGATGGATGATGTTTGTTGGCTATAAATTGTTGGAAGGCTGGATAAATGAGTCAAAAAATCAGAAATATGACACATAGAAAGTAGGAAAAGTAACTGTTCCAAGGAATAAAATTTTCAAGAAAGGATCCTATTTCTGTGATTCTCTGATATGAGTAACCGTTCACTAGCACATCCCCAGAACTGGCTGCTTTCATGGTTTATCTCCTTGTGAGTGAGTCAGAGCATGCTGTTTTGAGCTCACGTTTCAGTAACTCACTCTGCTTCTTTGGGAAACTGTATAATAGGAAAGTTCTCTAATACTTTGAGGGTCCTTTTTCTCCCCGTTTTCTCTTGAATTCAAGACTGAATATTTGAAAGTACAGCAAACTTCTCATGAACAATTTATGTCTTCTGAAGAAATAGAAGTTTTTTTTCTGTTTTGTTTGTTAGATGACTAAATATTTAGGGCACAACATTCTGGAAACCATTGTTGTGCTGAGAAGTTTTAGTCAAATCTGCTACATGAAGGTTAAAAAGCATTAGGCGTCAGGTGTGTGGAACACTCCTCTGATGCAGTTGTCTTTCCTTGAGGTCCCTGACGTCCCAGAGTCCCTTGTCTGGTTCTGACGTGCTCAAAGCCTGCATGCCCATCACCACTTGCTGCACTTCATCATGCATTCATTCACATAATGTTTGTTGAGAACTACTCAGTACCCAGAACTTTTCTTGGTGCGGGTATACAGTCTTTGTTTCTGATGTCCTGGTGCTTTTGCCCCTATCCAGGTACCAAGACTGCCCCAAGAGCATGGCCAAACTCTTCCTGTCTCGCCGCCAGTGTGGGTACTAACTATTGGCAGTGTTAGTGGGCTAGGAAGAGCATATGCCCAAATCGCATAAGCCAGCACCAGCGGATGGGCAACCACCCAACAGGCCTTCCTGTGGTCCTCCCTCCCACACTACCAGCGTGTTCCATCCACCAACCTCAGAGGAGGAGGCAGCATGGCATTAGAACAAAATTGACCCTGTCTTAGTCTGAAGCATTAACACCAAGGGGGGAATAAGCTCTAGCTCTCAAGTACTCCTGCCAGCCAGAGGCACATGACAGAGAATTAGCAGTCTTTCACAGCGGAAGGAGAAGAGGCGTGTCTCAAGTATCGTGGCGCTGTCTTAAATCTGCAGCGTCCAAAGTGAGGGGCAGAGCAGCAAGGAGGGCCCTGCCACTAGGGTTGGAGCAACCCAGCTTTGCATCCCAGCCTTGCCATTCACCCTGGAGTGGCCCGCGGTAAATGCCTGGCCCCTGCAACCCTGCTTTCTCGTCGGTAAAGACATTCCCTCCCTTGCAAGTGTCTCGTGAAGATTGGACATAAAGTATCAGGCACAGATACACAGGAGACTGTCAGGACCTGACACTGTGATCACCACCAGTGTCCATATTGCTTTTGTTATTTTTGACAAAATAGTGAAGGCTTCCAGTTTTCCTTTACTAGCTTTGTTTATTTTCATTTCTTACACTGAAAATGAATAATTTTCAAGCAGTAATGTTAGCTGCAAATACTTTGAAAATTTGTATTTTACTTACATCATTGCGGTTCTTTACAGTTTACAAAGCACTTTCACACTGTAAGGGAGCTTAGGGAACAATGGCTCTCTCTCTCTTTTGTCCACGTGAGAGAACTCAAACTTGGAGAGTTTATGGGATGCACCCAAGGTCACCTGTCTTCTAAGTCAGAGATCCCCAACCTTTTTTGCACCAGGGACCAGTTTCATGGTAGACAGTTTTTCCATGGACCAGCTAGGGGGAGGGGGACGACGTGCAGCTCAGCCGGTGATGCAAGCAATGGGGAGCGGCTGTAAATACAGATGAAGCTGTACGGAAGCTATGGAACGGGGTGGGCCTCCGTGGCCCGGTCCCTAACAGGCCACAGACCGCAGTTCTAAGTGACAGAGCCAGGGTCAAGCTTAGACCTGAACCCAGTGCTCCTTTGACTGCCTTGGGCCACCTTTCAAAAGTGACATCTTTGTGGTTAGGCCAGACCTTCATAAGGACTTTTTTCTTTTCCTTGTAGCTGTCAATACCAGCAAATACGCAGAAAGCTATCGGATCCAGACCTATGCCGAATATGTGGGGAAAAAACAGGAAGAGAAGCAGATCAAGAGAAAGTGGACAGAAGATGGTTGGAAGGAGGCTGACAGGAAGCGGTCCAACACCCAGTGCATACCCTATGCCCTGCAGAACCACTATTACCGCACCAATAGGTAAGCGTTCTCGGCTGTTGATTTACAGGGGCAGATAGACAGAAAGGATGAAAATGTCCCAAAGGAAGTAACGCCAGCACAAAATTTCACATTAAAGGAACTCTTGGAGATATTTCACTACATTGAAAGTGCTTTTGTTCAGTAGGATGACCTGTTGGAAGTTGATCCAAACTCAGGAGTATGACAATTCACCAAGGCATAGAAATGATGCTCACTCTGTATCGTAAATTATATGACAGGAAGAAGGAAAGCACTGTGCAAACTATGTTTTGTTTTTAACAAAAGCCCATACTTTATTCAGATTTCCTTAGTTTTTACCTAATGTCCTTGTTCTGTTTCAGTTCCAGGGTCCCATCTAGAATACCAAGTTACATTTTTGTCATTATGTCTCCTCAGGCTCCTCTAGACTGTGAAAGTTTTTCAGACTTTCCTTGTTTTTGATAACCTTGACAGTCGTAAGGAGTAGCGGTCAACTGTTCTATACAATGTCCTTCAATTTAAGTTTGTCTAATATTTTCCTAGTGGTTGGGCTACGGTTCTGGGTTTTTGGAGGGAAGACCACAGAGGTAAAGTGCCGTTCTCATCAGTTCATATCCAGGGTACAGGCTGTCAATATCTCTCCTCACTTTTGCTGTTAACCTTCATCACACATATGTGATAGTGTTCCTTAGATTTCTTCATGTAAAATTACTATTCCCCCCTCTGTACTGTCCTGTTTGAAAGGAAGTCACTATACACAGCCACACGTAGGGAGTGGGGGGCTCCACCTCCTTGCAGGCGGAGCATCAACATCAATCATCTGGAATTCTTCCAAGCAGGAGGTTTGTCTCTTCTCCCCGGTTTATTTATTTATGCAATCATTTATATCACTATATGGACATAAGTTTGTTACAGAGAACTAAAACACTAATTCTCAATAGTTTCTAATGTTTTAAATTGCAGTGTACTAAGTAAGTAGTGATTTTGCCTTTTTTTTTTTTTTTCCATTTCTCTATTTTAACCTAGAGTAAGAGAGTTTGTAACATTTTGACAGAAATTTTTAAAGGTCACAAAAATCAATACTTATTGGTAAGATTGCTTTGCACCTTTTCAGCTCATCCAGACGTTTCCCTGGTCCTGCACTACATGCCAGGCAAGGCAAGGACTGGCTGTAGTTTCTAAAGTTCTCTTTAGTTCCCTGATTTGTTTCTGTTTCCTCAGAAAAAGTTCCTTTTTCCTGTCTGTATTTTGGTCTGTTTTGGTTTCTGTCTGTCATGTCGGAAGCTTTATTCAAATATTTGGCTGTTGTTGGCCATCCATTATTATTTAAGAATGAGCTAAAAATTGATGAGAAGCTCTGAGTGTGAAAGCAGATCTCACTGGTGGTTTTTCTGAGTGGGGTGATGAGGTGCAAAGTTAGCTTTGTAATTATATGTCTTTTCTCTGAGGCTTCTTCAGTTTATTTATGGTTTATGCTTGTTATGTCCACATAAGAATTCTCTGCCTAAACTAAGGTCACAAAGATTTTCCCATATTTTTTTCTATCAGTATTATAGTTTTCAGCTTTATGTTTAGGTATATGATCAAGTTAATATTTATATATGGTATGAGGCATGGGTACAAGTTCATTTGTTCCATATAAATGTCCAGTTCAAGCACCATTTTTTGAAAAGACTGTCCTTTCTCTATTCAGTTATCTTGACTCCTTTGTCAAAAATTATTTGGTCATATATATGTGGGTCTATTTCTGGACTATATTCCATTGATCTAGAGTCAGTTTGTCGATTTCTACAAAAAGCTTGCTAGCTCTTTGATTGAGATCATGTTGAATCTGTAGATCATTTAGGGGAGAACTAACATCTTAACTATACTGAGTCTTCCGACCCATGAGCATAGTGTATCTTTTTATTTATTTAGCCTTTTTAAAATTTCTCTCATCAGTATATTATAGTTTTCAGCACACAAATTTTGCATGTGCCTTGTTGTCCCATTTTGCCTTCAGATGCTATTGTATCTAAATATAAAGTCATATATTTTTAAAGTTCAATTTCCAGTCATTCATTGCTAATATAAAGAAACAGTTGATTTTTGTATTTTACCTTGTATCCTTGGACCCTACTAAATTCACTTATCATTTCTAACAACTTTTTGTAGATTATTTGGTATTTTTTGTTTAGACAATCATATTTGCAAATAAGGGCAATTGTATTTCTCTGCGATGGACCATATGAATTTTATTTCTTTCTCTTGCCTTATTGCACGGTTAGGCCTCTAGTACAGTGTTGAATGTAAGTAGTGAGAGCTGACATCTTTATATTATTCCTGATTTTGGGGAGAAAGCTTTCAGTCTTTCAACATTAAGTGTGGTATTGGCTGTAAGGATACAGTTCTTTCAGAGACTGATTTTCTGTTTGCAACTTGGGGAATATAAGCCTGACTGCTGGTGCTCTGGGCACAGACTGGCAGAAGGAAGCTGGAGGCCTCACTTCTCTGTATGTGGGGATGGCTACTCGCCCTCCTCATTCAGTTCATATGGCCTCACTGCCACTCCCCACCACTATACCTGGTGCCTCTGAGTCCTTGGCCTCTGTGAGAGAGTCACTTTCTCCAGAGACTAAACCTGTCCAGCTCCTGCTAGCCTGGGGGAATGCTGTCGCCTGGCTTCCCAGGGATGGGGCGGGCATTCTAGTACAGCCTTTTCTCCTGTTGGCATGGGCCCAGCCCTTATCATCTGTTTGTTTTAGGGCCTGATTTTTGTTGAGATTTCGCAGGACTCTGTTGGGTGAATCAGCCTTTTGTAGAACACTTAGATTTCTGTTTCCTCCTCTATGCACAGCTCTTTAGCACTGTTCTCCCTACTTTCCTCAGAGTGTCTGCAAGGTGAGCTGATACCCCATTCTCTGCTGCTGACTCTCCTGTTCTCTTTGCTTTGGTAGGTGTTAGCCTTTCTCTGCAGATAAATAGTTGTGTTCAATCTCTCATGTTTAACTTCCCGGAAATTTTTTTTAAGTAGTTTATTTTCTGAAATAGTTGGGCTTTCAGTATGCAAGGATGATGTTTTGTTTTTCCTCTATAACCTTGATCACATTACTGACTTGATTAATAAATGCTTTCATCGAAGCCTAAGGTAAATTTTAGGGCAAAAGTAAACTTCATCCTAGCCTTTGAAAATTTCAGATATTCTGAATTCAGCTCCAACCAAATTGTATGTTGAATGTGTTTTTGTAATTTAGTAATTAGTAGTATTAAAGTAATGTATTTCATGTTTGTTATAAATTAATCTTTTCTCTGTTGAATTAAAGTAAGTTAACAATATGAAATTGTTTAAAATATTCAAATAAGTTTCTTGTAAAAAATATTTCTAATTGAATACCGTTGATTCTTTGTAATCTTGAGCCAATTTTTCTCTCACTTAGGCCTCATATTCTCTCATATTCACAAATAAGCTTTATGCCTAGGACTGAGCACATACACAACACATTCGTATTCTCTCTCTCTCTCTCTCTCTCTGTCTCTGTCTCTCACACACACACGCGCGCGCGCACACACAAATGCATATTCTTATTCCACAAGAGATGTCCTTTATTACTGGACAGCTGTCATACAGGCCTTATTTAATGTTCATTTTGTTTTCAAACTCAAATTCTTTATTAGAAGTGAGAATCACAGTTTGTCAGCAATCTCTGAAGGATTGGCTTCTGAACTGAACGTCAGCTGTCTGACATCTTTCCCCCTTCCACCTAGATCATGCCCCGGAACACAGAAACGGTCATGCTCATGGAATTTGAATTCAGCATGAGAGTTTGTGAATTTAATAAAAAGGCACTTTCCAGCTCTCGCTTACTCTGATTTTTCCAGTTCAGTTTGCTGTGGGAGGTAGTTTGACAGTGGGCATTCCTTCATTCCCTTAGCTCTATCTAGTAGGGAATGTGTTTTTATCCAGCCTGGCTGGGGAAGTTGCCCGTACACTGGAATGTAAACTATGTCAATATTATATATAATTCAGGACAAAATAAGCACTTTGGTGTTTGTCACTTGCCTTATTGCTTTTGGGAGAGAGGGCATTCACTTATTACATTTATTTTTATTTTTATTCTTTGAGACAGAGTCTTGCTCTGTCACCCCAGCTACAATGCAGTGGCATCATCATAGCTCACTGCAGCCTCAAACTCCTTGGGCTCAAGCAGTCCTCCTGCCTCAGCCTCCTGAGTAGCTGGGACTACAGGCACGCGCCATGACACCTGGCTAATTTCTCTATTTTTAGTAGATACGGGGTCTCACTCTTGCTCAGGCTGGTCTCAAACTCAAGTGATCCTCCCACCTCAGCCTTCCAGAGTGCTAGGATTACAGGCGTGAGCCACCGTGCCCGGCCTTTCATTTATTTCATCCATTCAACAAACCTTGGCCAAGGACAAGCCTCTGTGCCAGTAGCTGAGAACACAAGGAGTGTAAGATCCTGCTTGTAAGGAACTTACATTCTAGTGGTAGAGAGAGAAAATAAGCAAGTAAAGAAATAAATAAGCACAGACAGAGATGAGTAGGAGGAAGAAAACAAAATGGGGTAGAAGAGTGAAGGTTATAGAGAGAGGGGTTGTTTGGGCACCTCAGGGAATCAAGGAAGCCTTTTCGAGGGGATCTCTTTTCAGTTGAGGGCTATACAGTGAGGAACTGGCCCTAGGAAGGTGGGAAGGGGGGCTGTTATAAAGCAGTTCCAAGAGCATTGGACTTGGAGTGCAGTCTCAAACCCACCTGGCTAGCCACACCACCTGGGAGAAGTCACTCTTTCTGAGGATGAGGTTTCTTTTCTGCAAGATGGGAATGTAGATATAATACTTGTTCAGCTTCCAGTAGTTGATGCAAGTATCAGACAAGAGAACGTTGTGAACAGCAGCCCTTTAAAATGAAAATTGGTTATTATTTTATCCAGCAGCGTAAACCTTCCAACCAGCTAACGGACTGACTCTACCTGTCTTTAAGACTTCCTGTAGCGCTGCAGTAATCCAGGCAGTGTGGTGCTGGCG